CTTCTCAGCCTCCACAACTATGTGAGACAATCTTTCATAATAAATCTCTTTCTACATATCTATATCTATTCGTCTATCTATCTGTCCTGTTGATTCTGTTTTTCTGGAGAATCCTAACTAATACAATTTCAAATTCAACATTTGTGTTTTCTGGTCTGAGAACAGAACTAGGCTGGAGGCAAATTGTCAGTTTATTTCTCCTAATTACCCACATACAAAATTCAAAACAGTACCAACAGAGGTTATCTACAAAAGACTGTCTGAACTCAAGCGTATGTGTCAACTGTTAATATTCTAAACTGTGTCAAAATTTGAAGGCTGCCAAAATGAGAAACTAGTGCTAAGTTTGTAAGTTTATGCAAAGTGCAAATAAACTGCACATTTCTAAACAAATGCTTAGGAGGGTTACAATATCACATGTGTCCTACTCATTTGGTCAAAGTGAAGAAACTCCTATACGTTGTGTGTTCTTCCAGCTAAAAATCATTAAAAATTCAGTCTGAATAGATGTTCCTCTGAGCAGTTACAATAGCCTCTCTTTTTTTTTGGAGACAGAGTCTCACTCTGTCACCCCCAGCTAGAAGGCAGTGGTGAGCCTCCTGCCTCAGCCTCCCCAGTAGCTGGGCCTACAGTCATACATCCTGTTGCCGGGCTAATTTTTCTATTTTTTGTAGAGATGGGGTCTCACTCTTGCTCAGGCTGATCTCGAACTCCTGACATCAAGCGATCCTCCTGCCTCAGCCTCTCAGAGTGGCAGGATTAAAGGCTTGAGCCACTGCACCCAGACATAATAGCCTCTTTATTCCATCTCTCATCTAGATTTTTTCTTTCTTCCCTTTTTATTTATTTTCTACTGTCACTATCAGTCCTGAGGTCTTCTCTTAGGATTTTGGGCTCAGACATGCCATTGTTTTCCTTGTTGTGTTTTTTTCTCAAATTGAATTGTTAGCTTGGGGTAGAAGGCTGATCTTCTTGACCTTTGTTTTAAAAGAAAGCCTTGCAAAGAGAATACCTCCTTTCTAGTTCACTGAGGCAGGGGACATGATGCCTAAGGAAATCGATACTTTATATTCTGGCCCTAAGTCCTCTGCTTTGCTTACATTAAAGCGGGGTCCCCAATCTATGGTGAGGTATATAATTATTTCATTATATATTACAATGTAATAATAGAAATAAAGTACACAATAAATGTAATGCACTTGAATCATCCTGAAACCATCCCCTCCACCCCAATCCATGGAAAAATTGTCTTCCATGAAAACAGTCTCAGACGCCAAAAAGGTTGGGGACCGTTGCCTTAAAGTTTATGTTTTGAAACATAATGGTCTCAATTCATTACCCTGTCTGTTACCATAGCCTTTGTCATATGACTTTGCAGTTTCTCTCACTAGAGAGACGGAATGTATTCCCCATACCTAGCCTTATAATTTGCTTTGACCAAGACAATCTGGCTGAAGGGATGGTGCACCAGTTTTCAGCAAAGGCTCCGTTTGTGCACACTTCTGCCACTGCATGAGAGCAGCCCCAGGTTAGCCTGCTTGTGAATGACAGAATGCAGCCGAGCGGATTCCAACCGAGGATGGCATCCTAGGCCAGCCATCTCACACCGCCAACAGCCAGTCAACCTCCGGACACAGGAGCAATCCAGCCAAGATCGGCAGAGCCCTCAGGCAATCCAAGGCTGGTCACAAATGTGTGAGCAAGACCAGCTGGGATAAGAAGAGTCCTGTCCAGAGTAGCTGAACCCCACATCCCAGAGCTAAATGTTTATTATTGAAGTTTTGTGGCTGCCATACAGCGTTCTTGTGACAATAGATAACTGATACCACAGGTATTGGACATATTAATAATATGATTGTGACTGTCTCCTGACCTCTGTAGCAGGCTCATTCTGGTCACTTAATTTATCTCATAAAAATATAAGTTGACGTTATATGTCAGTGAAGTTTTTGGACCTTACTTATAGGTTTAAGTAGTAGTGTTAATGGTGGTTTACTATATTTTCATTAAAGTATCAATTAATGAATTTAGAGAGGCCTCTGACAAAGTTGATCTACTAAAACAGTGAATGTGGGTACAGGGAAAGATATTCAAGAGTAAACTCCATTCTTTAAAATAATCTCAATGGTATATAATAAGCTGAAGGCTTAGTGTATGTCTTAGTCTGTTTTGTGTTGCTATAACAGAATACCACAGATTGGGTAATTTACAAAGAAATTTATTTCTCTCATTTCTGGAGCTGGGAAGTCTAATATCAAAGATCCAGTATCTGGTGAGGGACTTCTTGCTGCATCATCCCATGGTGGAAGGTGAAAGGGCAGGAGAGCATGTGAGAGAGAGCAAGAGAGGACCAAACTCGCTTTTCTAACAAACTGGCTCTGGAGGTAACAAACCCACTGGTGATAATGATGATCCATGCATAACCTCTACCCTCATGACCTGATCACCTCTTAGAGGTCCCATCTCTAGACACTGTTCCATCAGGGATTAAATTTCCAAGACATGAACTTTGGGGGACACATTCAAACCACAGCAGTATAAAACCAAAACTGGTTCATTTGCTCTCATGTGTGTTTTCAACCACCTACTCAACAAATTATTGGAAACCAATTGTTTCCTTAGGAATGCTTAATGTGAGTATTACTTACTGGTAGATAGGATATTGAAAATGTTCATCAGAATGCATCAGTTTTCTTTAACAAATTATATTTTGGGTGATTTTTCTATTTCATTGATAGCTTTAATTTTAAAGTCAAGTAACATGATCCTTAACACTGTTTCCCATTGGACAGCTTCAGAAATTGATTAAAGCTACTACCAGAGTAGTTAAAATCCAGTGCATAGATAAAAAGCACAGTATTTAAGAGCATGCCACTAAAAGTGGATTTGAAAGGGTGAACTAAATACCAGTAGCATCTAGTCATTAAAACAAAGGCACAAGAGGCTTTATGTACACATTTTTAACATCCAATACTATTGTCTCCTATCAATAAGCCTTCTACCTTAAAGGAAATTGAGAACAATAAAATTATACATATGTATAAGAGAAGAGAGAAAGAGACAGAGAGAGGATGAGAGCAAGAAGAGACTATATTAGTGTGTATAAGAGAAACAAGAGGAAAATATGTAGATTTGTGAGGATAAAGGCTCTCTGTTTTATTTTCATGAATGTACATTCAAAGCTCAGAGTCTATCAGTGAACCCAGCTGAAGAATATCAAAGTCATCTTGTGTTAAAATTATTTTTATTCAGGATGAAAAATACAATATGTAACCAGATTAGATGGTAGTCTGTGATTAGTTCTTTACCACATATTTCAAAAGAATTACATACTTACTTCCCACTGTTGTTACTGCAATATATTTCTTTTTATTTATTGTTACTTAGAAGGATACAATGTAGTGTTTTATGGAGCTTTTTCTTAATAGCAGATAGAGGACATTTTGCATACAAATACAGGCAGGAAAAAAATTAACACGTGACTTTTCAAAGTAAGAACAAGGAATACACCAAATCTACAACTTGGAGTTCAGGGAATTTTTTTTCTTTAAATAGGTGCTTTCTTGGGCATGATATGGCCCGATAAAAGCTCTAGACTCTGCAGACTGCAGCGGCATAAAGCTATTTCCAACACAATGGATGAAGATGGATCTGAGGTAGAAAGGTGGTCATGGCTTTCCTCTTATATAAAACAATTTTCTTCTTCTCAAAATATCTATACTGCAAATAGACACCCTTGCCCCCCAACCCACCCAACCTATTCTAAAAGAATAGCAATTTCAAACTTTAAGCCTCCTTCGGGCAAAATCCCAGTTAAAGAGAACCCAAAGTTAAAATGTCTTGATGTTTTAAAAGTACATATGCTTGAATGAAAACATTATTTTCACTTTTTTTTTTTTTTGGTTTCTCTACATTTGGTAATTAACATGTTTAAACTGAATCAATTAAATGTTAAGTCAGAAGCTGAACCAAATATCTAATTGAATGTGCTCAAAGGTATAGGCAGAGGTACCACCATCTAAGCATTAACTTCATTCTTCTGTAGAGGCAGTGACATAGGCTTTTGATAAACATTCTTCCCAAATATATTGATCAAATGAAGGGTAATAAAACATCTGTTCGTTTGGTAAAAAGGGCAAATGAGAAAAGTACTGAATTTGTGTCTGCTTTCAGAAAGAAACTAACTAGAAGTTTCGAGAATTATAAAGGACTTTGACATACAAAACAACAATAAAACTCTCTTTAAAGAGAATTATAGACAATGATGTGTTCTGGTATTAAAATAGGTAAAGGTCTGCTGTGCATTTAATGATGAAAATCAAGACCTGGGAACAAGGAAAGGTTGTACCAGTTTTGTTTCCATGTCAAAATGAAAATATGCTTAAATGGGCAACCTTTGGTAAAATGATCTTTGAGATTATTATAATGCAGTCTCCTCTATCATATAGACTGGGACATAAAATAAATAAAGAAATTAAGACCTACTTATATAAAGAAGTGAATAAAATGCAGGGAAAAAATCCCAATAGAAATGCCATTTAGGCCCACAGGATTTTTATTGTGGTTATCCAAGTGGTCACCAAAGAAGTAAGTATATGATGTCAAATAAAGTTAAACAATATACACAGGGCTGTAGCCTAGTCTATATGTGTGTGTGTGTGTGTGTGTGTGTGTGCGTGTGTGTATGTGTTTGTATTTGATTGAAATGTATGAATTTATTAATTTGGCCAAACCACAGAAACAAATACATTAAACCTATTTGGTCATGTGGCTGATGAATTATAAATAACCAAAACATTATGGTAAAAGAATCAAAGAAATAAATGAAGTTATTGTACAAAGTTAATATGAACAGCAGAAGGAATGTAAAAATGAAAAGTGGTCTTCTAATTCTTATGAAATTTTTGTCATGGTTATTAAAAAGACAATATCATATTAGAAAGCCCCCACCCACTTTCCCAGTGCTGTATACATTATACAAATCAGTGACAAATGTATTTCCATTTCCAAATACCTCTCTGTTCATTAATTTACAGTTGCATAGAAAGGGAAGAAGAAAACAATAATATATGGTTATTATAAAAACAAAATATCCTTTCTCTTTGGATAGTCAGTGTTTTACTCCTTCAGTAGAACACACAGTCAGTGCTCAACAGCATGGGTCAAGTCGCCATGGAGCTTCGGATTAAATGGAACTTGGAACTGGCATTTGCTGAAAAGGGCAATACTGCATGTCAGGAGATGTGGGTTGGCTAGATGAATACTTCACATTGCCTGCGGGAAGGGAAAACAGCACTGTCAGAACAACATTTTCATACATCATTACAGGTAGCAGCGATCTGTCAACTCTACAAGAAAATAGAAGTGCTTCTTTCAGACGGAGTCAAGCCTTATTTTGCTGTGTCCAAATGGGACCCTTAACTCCCTGTGATGAGGTCATTCCCTCTCATCCTGAAGTTATCTTGTCTGCTTTGTACCTCTACAGCTCATTTAGAGGAAAGTCTGGACGTTTTTTCTCTTGCCCAGGCTGGAAGCCAAGTTGAAATTGAGAGGACTTGGCTTCTTTCTGCTGAAGGTAGCAACAGTGACTGAATCAGGCTGTTGCAACTACCCTGTCTCTCCCTGCGAGACTGTGGGAGGTCTCCTGGAGAGAAGGTACCTTCACAATCCCAACCCATCTCAGTCCCAAGCTGCAGGCCAGAGAAGAGGAAGCAAAGACAGGCATTGTCATCCACAGGTGTGCAGTGGTGCCAGTTAAAGTTAAATGTTCCAGGCAAGAGAGGATATAAATCCAGGCCACACTCAGGTAGGCAGTAGCGGCCTTTCAAAGGGAAGGTCAAACAGTTGGTCTTTTACAATTATCTTGAAATTAGAAAAAATATCACAATAAAATGAAATCATCCAAATTGGGCCATGCCTAATAAATCATAGGAGGCCTTTCAGGACTTCTGGAAAAGACAATGTCTGTCCTTAACCTTTGTTTTATGAAAGACTTTGGCATAAAGTCCCCCTTTCCTGGAACTGTGTTCCTAACAAAGTTGCTGGAAAAGCTGCCCAAGAGGCTGCTCCATTTCCCAGGTATGCTACAAGCAGCAAACTCACTTAATGCTGGCCTAGATAGAGCCTTTTCTCCATCACTATTCGAATTTGGAGTCTTCAGACATTTGCTTCTGTATTTTGAACATTTCATCGCCATGTTAGAGGGAGCAAAACCTCAACGAACACTGATGGGGGCCCACTGGACTCCAGGCGTCGTACTGAGGTGAGGCCCTCAGAGAAGCAGGTGCGAAAGATACCTCAGCAATGCAGCCTCATTCCATTCTAGGATGAGATAAGTGCTGACCATCATAAATTCAAAGTGCTTTGGGAACAGAGAAGGGGAGAGATTCATTCTACTTGGGAAAGGAACATGTTGTTACACATTAATATTGGTAACTAAAGCTTTGGTGCCACTTCACATTGAAAAAGAAGGCTAAGAAGATTTGTGAGTTATTTCTATGTACTCTATTATCCTTGAGAATTGGATGAGTTTATTAATTAGGTGCATGATAATTCTCATTTTAGGTGTCAGAATTCTAAAAATTTAAGACCACGCCATGTAAATATTAGCTCAAATCTCCAGATGAAAACACACATTTTTCATGAATTTCCATTTGACCTGAGGTGTGAAAAATGAGGAGAAGAGGAGGCAGATGCTGAAGGGAAAAGCAAAGGAAGAGAAGGAATGGAGAGGGAAGAAAGCAAAGAGGAAAGGGCCTCCTGCATTGGGTCAGATGTTTGCTCCGCCCACTAAGCTGCTGTATAACCAGGACAAATTTAGCTCTTTCACACTCCATTTCTAAAATCTAAAAACTAAGTGGGAGGAGAAGGTCTGTAAGATCACTTTCTGCCTTGAATTTTGAGCACTTGTATTGCAAACTATTTGAGGATTTAAAAGGAGATTCTCTCTCCCCTCCGTGATCTCCATCGCGCATAGCCTCACCACCACTTGGGGACCGCCAAGTCTAGTCTCATCGCACCCTTTCTCCTTGTTCTAAATGGGCCACCATAAAATGCTCCAGACCCCTGGCCACCCTTTCATCACCTTTTGTCATCCGTACTGTCTGTTTCCTATAGAATCAGCACATTGCGTCCCCACGTCTCACCCTGCCTAGTTCTTGAAACCCTTCCTCTGTGTCCCCAGGTCACATGGATCACGAGTCACAAAATCCGTATTTCTAAACTCTTCTTTGAATGTTGTCTTCACTTGCTGCTTCAGTCTAATCAATATCTGGATCCCCCGCACACACAGCTTCCCCCATAGCCCTCTCACACAGGACTTCTTCCTCCCACACTCTCCACACACTTCATGAGCTCCCTCCTCCGCCCTCATCGAGGCTTTCAGGGTATCTTTTTTTCTCTTCTCCCTAAAAACACCCAAGCTTTGAATCTCATGTCATCAGACTATACCAACCCATTATGCAGTCATCTATTGACCCCTTGGATCATATTCCCTAACTTCTTGAAGAAGAAATGGCAAAATGTCACCTACTCTAAAGCTATGTTTAAATTGTAGTGATTTCAACACCCACGTAGATGATTTTTTTTAACACTCTGGCTTTGGTTCTTTGAGCTTTCTTCCTCCAATGATCCTGTTCTACACCCATCTTGGTCATTCACTCAGACCTCCAAGTATGGACCATGACCAATACTTGCAACTCTCTAATTTCAATTTCAATCATCCCACCTTCTGACAATCACCTCTACCTTTCCGGCTTACAACCGCAAATTCATCCATCCACTGATACTGCAATCCATTGATCCCCCCCCCCTTTATTTCTGTCTCCCACACCAGACATATATGTCTTCACTTCTCTTGACATTGAGCTTACACATCTGGTTCAATCATTATAACCATTTCTTTGCTTCTTTCCTTGAATCTTTGTACTCACTTCGCCAAACCACAACGTCAACTTTGGTTAAATGCAATACTCAGACCACTCTGGTGCCTGTGCTCATGAACTGGAACGTGGCCGTAGGGTGACACACAACCCTGCAGACAGGCCTCATACTAAATGCATGCACGGCCCCTTCAGTGGTGGCCTTTAATGCTGCCTGTAGTCACGCTCTATTTCCCAGGCCACCTGCTCTCCTGTTTTCCTAGCAGCTATCACACGTCCCCCAGTCTCTCCTCACACCTCTGGAACCTTCTGCCGAAGGCTTCCGATTCACTCTGAGAACAGAAGCAAGCAGGAGAGGACACCCACAGCTCCCACCACATCACTAGTCTACTTCACACACCCTTGTCATGTAGTTAAGGTCCCAGCCCCTCTTGCCAATAAGACAATCAATCAGGAGGTTCACTGTTTCAAAAAGATTAATAAGCAAGTTCATGAAAGACCATGGTCTCCAAAGAGCTACTGTGGCCTCGTGGCACGTTATTACTAAAAGTATCTGATAAGGAAAATGCTGAAAGGCATAAGGCTATAGCTGCCAACAGTTTTCAGCAAATTTTTAAATAAAAAATTGAAACTTTTTCCCACTCAAAGTAACAAAACCATCTTTGTGGTACCAGGCACGTTTTTTTTTTTTTTTAAGTGAATGTTCTATGACAGCTACCTTAAGCAGACATTTGGGAGACAGCAGTGGCCAAACCTATCTAGAGTAACTTTGTATACTTTGTATAAGATGCTAATAAAAAGCTGTTAGAACAGAGGATCGAACCCATAGTACGTCTGGTATTTGGAAGAACCTGGCTTAGGAGCCACCCCTTCCCACTCCCTCAGACTGACAGTCATACAGAATCAACTAACATTTAAATGTCAAGCCAGTTTATTTACTTACGGAAAGAATACAGTAGCAGTAAAATCAGTGGTAGCTAATCTGCTTACTCTAGGTTGTGATCAGTAACAATTAAGCTAATCAACCCATTAGCTCTTACCTGTGGCCTGCTGGGGACATTTGCTGAAAGAGAAAACGAAAGAAATCAATTGGAGGTTGTAGTGCTCTTGCTTTGCTGGTTCCGACTTTCAGGCATGCAAATGTGTGGAATGTACCGCTCTGAGTAGGATAACAGCCCAGCTGCTAAATGGATGCTAACAGGAAAATAAGAAACAGGTTTTCGGTGTTCTTTTTTTCCTCTGGCTAAATGCTTTAACAAGGGCTAGTTTTCCTAGTTAGTTTCTCATATCGAATGTGATTTAAGATTTAATATATACACTAAAGCATTCAATGAGCACTCAAGTCTTGCCAAAAAACCCTCAATGTTTCCTGTTTAAATCATGCCATGTATTTAGTTTATGTATCAGAACAGAGCAAGTTCTGTTTATTTTGCTAAATAGTACCAATTCTGACTAAGGGGCCAGTAGAGGCATGAATCTTTGGTTTCTGCCACCCTTGGCCCATCCTTCTTCCCACCTTGGCCTGGGAAGATGGTGGCCAAGTGCTTGTATCAGGGAAAGGGCTAGCCTAATCCTTGGCAGCCTTCTGGACACTTGGGCTAATAACAGTGCCATGGAAGGGTCCAGTTAGGAACATTTCAAAGTTAGAATATGATGCCTAATTCAACTTTGTATCGGGGTAGCTCAATTCCTTCCTTGTTCCAGAGCCCATGACAGTGAAGAAGATCTGGCAGGCTCTGTGAGGACCTTTCTAAAATCTCTTCTCCAAGGCCTCTGCTGTTCAGCCCTCCTTTCACTGCATCATTATCTCATTCTCAACAGGGGAAAAAAAGAAGAGATTCCCCTACTGCCCAATAATGGCAACATCTATTCCTGGTCAAATAAGAATTGTCCCTAATCACATAGCAAGTTGCCCTCTTTCCATCTCTCATTTTTCTATGCTGAGGCAGGGAAAAAAAAAAAGAAAAGAAAAAAGACATCAGTGACCACACTCTGGGTACCAGTAGCTTTGTGAGAAAATAAAAGCAGGTATGAAGGGTGCCCTTCCTATGATACCTGGAGGGAAAGTGTGAGCCCCAGTATTTGGGGAAGGAATCAGGCTAAAATTAGCCCTGTCCTACCAGATATGTAAGTTAAATCCAGAGAAAAAGACTGGACCTCCATACATATGTGAGCTACACCCAAGGAACAGCTGAGTTATTATTAAGTACACCGTAGGTTTACACGTTCTTTCTAAAAGAGACAGAGATACGCTTCTCTTGTAAGAAGCAAATACATTTAATAACAAACAGCAATCCCTAGGTAAAAGTCTAATCCATTTTGCTCCAAACCAATACTTTTAAGCCTACAACTTTTTTCAAATAAAAGGCTATGGGTATCCCCCTGGACAAATCATACAAACATATTTTAAAAGGAAATCACTGCATGTCAGTGGGTTTTGAGTTTTTGATGAATGTCATTCAAGCTTAATAAACACAGGCAATTCACAGTGAAAACATGCCTGTGGGTCAAAAATAATTATAAAAGCATTTCTTGGTTTATCAGCAAAAATTACTTAGCTTATTAACAGTATCCCATATATCTGAAGAACATAAATGAAAAAAGTGACATAAAATTTTACACTAAAAAAGAAATGGTTACTGTAGTCGATGGGAATTTTAGTATGTACATTGGTTAATGGGCAGCACAATTAAATCCCCATCACTGACTCTTTGCTGGGAAGAGATGGAAATCCCTGCCTCTCTGCTCTGAAACTCAACATAAATAATTTTAAAAGACTTTAAAAGGCCATAATTCAAGGATATTATCAGGACCAACTGGGATATTAATTCAGATGAATTAATTCTAAAATGTTATGTGCAACAATATGTAGACACAGTTAAAAAATGTCATGTTAAAGAAAGTAGGCAATTCATGCAATTAGAATTTATGAATACAGTTTCATTTTAATTCCAAGATTGCCAGGAGTGGAAATTCATTTGGGGCCATGCTAATTTGTAATCCACAAAGGATCAAAAGTCAAGATTAACATGCAGATCAATTCATTGTATGCTGGTGACAAGCAATTTTAAAGTTCTCATTAGTTACAGGGGCTCAAGGGATTGGCTTGGCTTTGGGAGGGTGCCAATCCGATTTGTTTAGGTAAATCCTCCAAAGGTGGTCAGTAAGCTTTGGGAATTGCAAAGGCTTATTAAAATATTTGCTGGCTGAGCAACTTAAAAGAGGCAACAAAACAAATGAATCCCATAGAACCTTCTGAGTTCTATCTGGGAAAGTGTCAACAACTAAACTTTCCCAGTTAGAAAATGTAATCATTCTTCACTCATTCATTCAATGAAAAAACCTGAATTGGAGACCAAGTCTAAGTCACATACCGGTTTCTATTCTGCATCAGTTTTTAAAAGGTTTAGGCAACTTATAAAATATGTATCAATTTTATAAATAAGTCTTTA